AAACACCGACAAAGAAATGTGTAATTTCTATGTTCGGCAAATATTTTACCATATCTGTATAGAAAGAAGATGCTAGAGGTAGTTTAAAATCTCATGGGTCATGACCTGGGTTGCGCAGTGATACAACTGCTGTTTGCGGATTTCCACTTTTTGTATTTTTCACTAAAGACGTTAAAGGTTCGTACGTCCAGCTAATGTTTTTGAAGTGTCCCAAATGAAATTCTGATAGACCTCTAATATTGAAACTCTCTCTTGGTAGATACGTATACAATCAGGAATCATGAAAACATATGTAATTATTAGATAGAAAATCTAAGAGCTTTTTAATTTTAGTCTCACTATATGTACGCAAGCTTCAATTAAATTTTAAGAAAAGTGAGAACAAAAATTTCCCGAAAAGAAAATGGAAACCGACAAATATAAAGTATGTTTTTCCTTTGTTCGTTCGTTTTAGATTTTGTGTTAGAATTTTATTTCCCCAACAACTCGACAAAATAATGAAACAGCTTTAAAGAGTAATAAAACAAGGCGAGGGTCAGTGTTTCTTTCAGCTGCCAACAGATCGCTCCAGCGTGTTCGTTGAAGCTTTCAGAGGCGGACACGGGGGCGGTTCTCATCCACGCCCCTCAACATCGGCGACCTCCATGTTAGGATTACAGTGCAACTTGCTGGGATATGTCAAGTCTGCTAAACATTGGCCCTGTTCCGCATCCGTATGAGGTGTCCGTGGTTTTTCTTTTGTCAAAATTGAGTTTTTCTTGTTCTAACTTATGTTGCTGACGATGCTTGTTCTTCTTCTTTTTCCACCGCTTTTCGCTCCCCACCCAGCAGCGTCATAGTTGGCGAGCGCGCGTTACGTGCTTTAAGGACCCGTCGAGCTTTCGCAACCTCTCACGATTCCGCACGTACGTACGTACGTACAGCGAGCGTAGTTTAGTACCTACTTACGCACAGATATGTGCTCAGTAGGTACTTATTTCCATAAAAATGTTCAATATTTGCAATAATGTTTAGATGTTGTCAACTATTTAATAATATTGATACCTATATTTAGGATTTCATTAATTACACAGGTCTGCGAAATTTTTTTTTGAAAAGTTTTTTTTTTTAATTGTTAATATTTGTCGTAATTGTCTTAAAAGTAATAAAAAACGATATTCATATGGTGTATACCGCGTCACATTAACCCATTAATCAAAACAGATCGCACAACAGTATCAGCTGCTTTCTCGAAATCCACAAAAATATCTTGTGGTGAAAACTGATATCCTAATACATTCAATGACGACATTTTTTTATCAGGTAGTAAGAAAAATACGAAAGGTACAAATGAATCTTGTTACAATGCGTGGATAGTAACGAAAA